GAAGAGGAAATTATAAAATTTGGACTGAATGGAAGTAAAATTCAACTGATTGTTATATTGTATCTTAACTTCCAACTTGGTAGCATCGTATTCCACAAAAATGTCTTTCGAGGCACACATTGGTTGTGTGTCGCTTATGTCCCTTCAATTAGTCTAGAGTGCCGAAGTAGATTGATTGCAGAGACCACGAAACAGCATGACGGAGAGCATAATATCAGATAGCGTTTATGATATCCGATTAAAGTGGCAGTTATTTTAATCATCCAAGTGTTTGAAATAATGGTGGCATCTGAAGACAATTTCAGTTCGGTCGGAATTAACATTCCGAACATCATAATTCTTCAGTCGGAATCTAAATATCGCAACTCCGAGCGAGATTTGTCGGATTTTTCCGACCAAACGTCGGTCGAATGCCATCACTACACTGCATTGATCGATGCAGAATCAGCATCGTTTTCAAACTAATCAGCAGTATCAGCAACACAGTTTTTATGCTAATCGTACTCTCAAGTTTGTGCAAAAGCATGACTGTTTCTCTGATGAACGGATTCTATATATTCCTTAGTTTTGGAAAAGTATGCATATTGTCGGGCGATTTGGTTTACTCCACGTAATGTTCGCGATTTCTCGAAACCATCTCGCGTAGCTAAGCTTCAAATACAGTGTATCTGCATTAGAGATGGCATCCAAAAGGAATTTCAGTTCGATCGCAATCCAACCAAATCAACTTTTTAACATTCTGACATTAGGTATTCCGACCGGCTATTCAAATTGTTTGGTTAAAAGCCCGGAATTTCTCAGGTTCTTCTGACCGAAATTCGGTTGGATGCCATCGCTGCTTAATTTAGTATTATCACTTTATAATGATCGATAGAATTCAATGCATTCAAAATTTTTGAAATGGTGTTATCACTGCGATATTTTACAAGCGAACATATCGTTTCATTTTCCTTTATCTTCTTCGCTCTATCCGTTTAATACATTTCATGCAGTCAGATAATGCAAGATCTCCTAGTGAGTGGATCGCAGATACTTTCGTCGTATAAGTGGAATATATTTTCCCAGAGGCGAGATCTCGTTCAATTGATCATTGCGAATTTTAACATCGAATTTTTTCCCTTTTTTGACTTATTCAAAGATTGCAAGATCGCATTATGCAAGAATCTATTACGTATGGTTTCATGTCAGTTAAGAAATGTTGTGACTGTCTGGACAACCGAAACCCGATGAGTGTTTAGAAGTTTCATTTTCCGCCAAAGATTTCAGATTTAAACCTACCATTTTTCCTCATAAGTGGTAACTAAGTCAAACATTTCGATGTTTACAGAAGTTCTCGATCACGCCGCGCACATTAAAAGAGTGATTAACACTTATCACTGGTTGGACAATAAAACGATCTTATTATGCAATTACAATCTGCAAAATCTCTTGAATTTCTCAATCCCGAGATCGGAACTGTGCATTTATTCAAGCATTTATGCTATATAAGTGTTAATTAGAGGAAAGATAAGAGGCATTTGAGCTATATATATGTATTGGATATAAGGATAGATAAGGAGGCATTTGAGGTGTAAATAAATATATGATTTGAGTATATGACGTGATGGTAAGTGACAGTACGTAAGATTTGGATAAATCACGTGATGATAGACGAATGCAAAACACTGACTGACGTGTTAAAATTCTATCAAAAAAAATATTATTAATAATGATTATCACGAAAAGTTCGCTATCATGCAGCAATTACTATGTATTTCACCAGAACTGCACAATAGGTCAACACCCTCCAGTATGGATTGATTTCTGTGCGTGTAAATTTGCAATTGGCCTATTCTTCACCTCAGGTGACTTGATTATATCTATAATATGAATCCGAACTATCTATACCTAGTTGTTTCTCAATGTTTATCATTGGTTTAATTTTCGTTGCATGGATCATAATTAGATGCGAGCATGCTTATTTACTCAAATTGACATGATTAAAGAGCCCTTGACATAAAACAATAATGTACGGCACACGTTAAAGAACATGAAGTACAAATTTCCCGTTGACATCTTGCCGTCGTGTCAGTAAATTGGTGATAACAGAAAACTCCGGCGTAACCAGATTTTTTTCATGACGAGGGAGCACCGGATACATTCACCCGCTGCGCCCTTCCCTTTGGCTCGCTACTGTATTTTGGTTTAGTTGGGTGGAGGGTGGACAGGCAGATTTTGTGTATTATATCGTCTCCATAGTCACCCTTCGTGATTAAATGACAACTCACACAAGCCGTACGGCTTGCTTTATCCATTCGAAATGCACCATTCTCGACGAGGTCGTATTGTCCAAGATCCAACTCAGGAAGCCATTCGATCCATTCCACTGATAATAAACGGTTTTCAGACGTATTCAGTTTCAGCTTCCAGACTGAACCCTGTCTTGTATAACAGTCCTGTAACAATAGAATATAGGCGATCATAACCGAAAAGGGAACAGAATCAATCGACATGGTAATTATCAACTGGATTTTAGTGCATAGATGACCACGTTTTGAACCGCAGTGAAGAAATAATACGATTTTTAGCGGAAAGATTTACTGGTATTTTTTAACATTATTTATTCAAAGTGTTTTTACAATGCTACCATTCTGAAGAGAATATTGTATTTATTATTATTAATGTTGCAACCTAACGCACAGCATTATAAGTAACATCAATGGTGTTACTATTGACATCGTTATTGTTGTGGTTACATTCATTACATTGAAAACCTTCGAAAAGAAATCCATTTTCATTTATAATATATTCAAATGAATTATCCTCAACGAACCTGCACACAAACGAAATAACCGTCTTCAATAACACACGCACCACTCCAGTTTGCGGGTTTGAAGGGAGGACAACCACGGGAACAGTCGATCGGAATTTCTCTTTTGAATTCTGAATAAGTATCGCGAAAAAGAATCGCTAAGAGCTTGTCTCTAATGGCACCAAGAAGTCCCTCGTCTGGATGTTCGAAGATCGATATTCCAAACGCCACTTTCGGGTTCGCTCTATCCACGAAGATTGCTTCGTCGTGATAGATTACCGGGCGGCAAAGTGAATGCACTGGTAGCCTGAAATGTGGATTAGATGATGCGGCTGCCAGCTGTTAAATTATTGAAATGTTGAAGTGTTGTTACTGATTTCTTCGAGGATCAGTGAAAGCTTGTGAAACTGCAACAGTGGTGGGATAACCACCGACTTGTTCATGTATTTCGGCCTCATCGATGCCTTATGCTCGACCCACCGCGTCAACAACTCCCTGGAGGAATCTTTTGACATTTTAGAAGTTATTAGTCCAAAGCGAGGGCTTCCAACTGAGTATACTCGTTGCTAAAATATTCAAATTTGTGATTGTTAAATTCGCAAACGAATGAGAAATGGAAAATTCTCTGTAAAACAAAACCAATTATAAGTGAATGAATTCAAGAGGGCACGGAGAGGAATATCGAAAGTGCGACACCAACCTCACTCAGATCGTCTTCAACGGGCACTATTCGCATAAACACGAAATCAGTTTTCCATTTATCTTTCTTATCGAAGAAACCTTGACGTTCAGCGGAACAGAACGTTTGCGTATGCTGTCTCTGATCATCTCCTCCCGAGGTGTTTGAAGTGGAGGAATCAGAATCTTAATATGAATTCTATACAGAATCATGCTTAACTCAAGGTTGTTGAGTCGTTCATTTTTAGAGGTTTTCCGATTCACTCGCTGATGAAAGATACATTCAAAATGAGCAAGCCATTCATTGTGCCTATTCCCATAAAGAATCAAACTTTTAATGGTGAATTTCTTGTCGGTCGACGTTCGGGCGCTCTTTACTCGCAAACAGTCAGAGAAGAGGATCTCAAATTGATACTTACCCGAATTTGATTCTATAGAATTCTGTTTTTGACGACTTTCCCGTTTTTGTTTTCGTTTTTGTTTCCATTCCTGGATGTAATCAAATACTTCTGTGCCCCTAATTGGTGTATTCGGGTGCGATTCTCGAAATCGTCGCTTCCAATCTTCGATCATTTCAGCACGAGTAACTTTGTGAGGTTCGAAGAGAAATTTGCGCCGAGAAAATCCCAAATACAAGCCGTCGGCGTTCCTCTGATAGCTCGTCTTAAGGAGGTGTCTTGTTCAAGCAATCATCAGTAGCTATGCGCTATTCACTGTGAAGTTTTCGGTACTTTTTCGTCAGTGGCGCTACTGGAGGATCGTTTTTAGCAGATTAAACCTTTTTCAGCGATTAGCTGAGTCACTTTTCAGTGGCGTGCTGATCATTGGTAATGAGGGGATTTAGATATGCTAGTTATCTCCACGGTGATATTTATTGCCGAGGGGATTGTGCATGCAAACAACAACATAACATGGAAGGCATTACTGCACTAACACCGTGTTGTGAAGAAAGAAAGGAAATAGTAAATACTGGAATAAAATAAAGCGAAGAGAGATGAGGATATTCATAATCAAACAACACTGCAAAAATAATATGCATCCGGCAGCCATCGAAATAAACTTCAAACGCGACGTAACCGATTTGGCACACCAAAACAACAGTCGTAACCACAACTGTCCATGATCTGCGTTAAGTGATGAGTGACCAATCATCAAAGAGTAATGATCACTAACGTTGAAGAAGATATTGCGCAGATTCGTTTCCCGATTTGAAAGGAGAACAGCAGTTTCATCCGGACGAAGATGAAATTTCGCCAAATACGTGCGATCGGTTTTCAGATTTACCATCACAGCGAACACAACGTCGCTGGAAGATGATTTCAAGCGTCGTTGATAATAATCGTTAAAGTGATAATAAATCCGAATACATTCTTTACGACTGTTAGTAATTGCGATAGTGAAGAAGCGGAAAGTACAAATTTTGCCCAAATAACACGGTAATAACTCATATTTGTCAGTGTATTGTACTGTACTGTACACAACAGAATCCACTACCTCTTCAGCCAAACGAGCAAAGAAGCAACGGCATAATACGAAAACACATCAAAAAATTCTTGCAACTCACTGCTTTGCTGCGATGAGTTGTGAGCAATAGAACGGCTTTGCAAATATTTCTGGCAGTAGAAAGTATTTGCGCTCATCTGTTTCGACATTAATCCGAATGATTCGATTCACTGACATATCGAAGCAAAGAATATTGCCGTCTCAAAAAGAAATAGTCAGTGAAGAGGGATGAAATTAGAATCAAAGTCTCATTGGCAATGATTGGAATTCTTCAGCTTGAGTCATTATGATTCTCATTATGATTCATCATTATGATCATTGTATCGTTCTTGCTTTGCAAACAGCAAATCGTTTGTTTATTATACTAAATGGGTCCGATAGATGATGATTAGAGAATTAGGAACCTTCGGTGAGGTCGAGTGCGAAGTAGGATACTGCGGGAACGTCGATTAATTTCGTTGAGTATTTCTGATTTCGATCAAGATCAGTCGACGATGAAATTGAGGCTCGGCAAGTGTCGAGGTTTTTTGAGTTATCTTGATCCAGCGGCCGCCTGAATAACCTGATCTCAAAATCACTGTTTTTTGATCAATAATGAGACCTCTTCCATTGCTGTCAGCAACCGCAGAAATCCTTCCTATTACTAATTTGTCGAGTTTTCAACGGCTACGATGAATGCGGTTCAATGAAAGTTTTTCAAATTGCAGCAATGGCGAGATAACCAGCCTGTTCATGTCTGCCAGCTTGATGGTTGCCATATATTGGAACCACAGCAAAAACAGGTCCGTAGAAATTAATCCACAGAAAGTGCGTCGAAATGAATATATTTCGTTTGAACGTTTTTGCCCCGATAACCAGGTCTTAGCTAACAAAGCGATTACCTTGCGACCTGTCTTCGCTCTCTACGTGGGCGCAGGTCTACCGATCCCCACGTTTTCAGCAACTTCAAAATTGCGGTCTGGAACATTCACAAATCATACACGAATCTGTTGAGATTATTGCAGAACGAATTGCATTCGAATTCATCGTTAAACTGCTTCTGCAGGTGAGAAATAAATACTTCGAGGATGTCAATGGAAACGTTAAAATCTGTTGGAATTGAATGGTGAATTGGCTCATCGTCCCGTCCCAATATAAACTCGCAACACTCTCAGATTGAATCAACTTATCGTAACAGTCGTTTTATTTACCCATAAGTTATCCTCACCCACCGAGACGCATTGACTATCGCTCTTCATTATTTTCATCCACATTTTATTATCAGTGCCACATAAGACGACAACACTTGACTTGTAATAATGCTCAAATGTATGCATGGTCCCGATTGCTAACTCGTTGACACAAGAAATGAAATCGTCGAAGGAAGGGGAACAAAAGGGTTTCCGTTAGGATTATTCGGCCTTTCGCGAGCGATGTTGCAAACAATCCATATTAACTACTTTGTTGCTGTGCAATTAGATATACTTGCTGCGCAGTGATTTATGCAAATCCCGAAATCGAACTACAAATGTCTAAAGATAAATCTCTAAAACGCAACAGAATGTGAATAATTTGACACACGACATTCATATACGACATTCATTGATTCACGTGATCAATAATAATATATGCATTCGTTGATTTTCAATTGCTTTATTGAAAAGAAAAGGTGTCGCGACTAGCGCGAAAAGCTAGCATNGGCGTGAATTCGATTCCGCGTCGGTCCAAAATCTTTGACAAAAAAAAATGTTTGATCTCTTTGAGGTTTGATCTCAAAGAGATAAACACACAAGAATATCTCAATTCAAGAGATATTCAAGAAAGGGCTTAGTTTCGACAAAAGGCTTGTCCTAAATAAATATCTCATTTCTGTTCAATCAGATTTGATCATTTGAATGGATCGTTTTTCCGGTATTCTCTATGACTCAACCAACGTATGTTCAGACGTCTTATTCGAGCATATTTTCGTGAGCTTATTAATTTCTCGCAGCATAGAAAACTGTGAAACTCGAAAATATGGAAGGTTTCATTTGGTGCCGTCTCAAAATTGGATTGATCGAATTTTATTTGTGCAGTTGAATGAAATACTGAACATTGGAATCAATGAATGGAATGTTGAAATTGTTAACCCGCTGCAAATTCACATTATTGCGGTAATATCGGCAGAATTTTCGGAAAACCGAAAAAATTGTGCATTTGGAAAAACTGAATTCCCATCTATCTCATTGTCAGCTATTATCAAGCGCGTTCCTTATATAAAATTCGGGCATTGTTCTTCAGTTGTCTCTATGTGCTCACTCTAAAGGGTTAAGTCACAGCATCATCCCTTCATCAAGTTAATGTTGAGGGATATTTTCTTTCCTATGGGACAATCAGCTCTTGTTCCTCGTAATTCTGGACGAAAAGGGTAAATTCAAAAGGGCGAAACAAATGCGGGACAAGCAAACACTTTTATGATGGTCACGAACGACACTCTTATGCCTGGTCATGAACGTTATCAGTCTCAGGGTTGTAGATGTTAGCATAATAAATCTGAGTTTTGGTTTTTCAATGGCGATGAACGTTCAAGATTTTTTGATTTAAAAATAAACGACATCGCAATTGCTTCAGTGGTGAAGGGAAGTGTGAAAATAACAGACGGGATGAGGCACTTTGTGGCTTTTAAGATTCAATATGGAAACGTAGAGATAACACGTTGAGTGTCAGTTCGACGTTGTAAGACATGTGCGTCGCTGATAAGAATTATATGCCTGATATAAGCTTGTAGCATAATATGAGCCGTGCAAGGTTTTTTAAACCACTGAAGTATGTGAGATTGCAAATGGAGTGCAGTGCAATGTTGACGGAGGAGAATGTATCATTAATAAACAGAATCTATGTAATAAATTTTGCTCAGTCACAAATGCAAAATTATATAATCGACAACGAATTATATCGCATTTGAAACTGAATACTTCATTGCTGTTTGATCTTGGAATTTGGATTACAGTTTCATTGTTTTGGAAATTGATATATACTTTATTTATTTATGAAAAGTGTGCATCTTCCCTGTGAAGTGCGCAATAATGCAGTACAATTTCAGGTAATAATTTGAATTTTGTGCAAATGATCAAAAATCTCAAATCAAAAATTCGACCCAAAATCCGTCGGCAATGTCGACACTGCACTCAAAAATTCGTTGACAAATAACATATCGTACGCAAAAAACTTTTCAAATCATTATCCATCGAAGTTATGCCTCTGTAAGCCTCAAAGGGAATCGGCCCACTCAAAATTCGTTGAATTCAACAGAGGTCATCTTCTATCGCCTGAACGTCTCACATTTGGATTTCTATCATGCCATGTGAGATCAGTAGAGATCACTTGATGCATTATGATATTAGCTTTACCCTCTTGCGGACGTAATACCTGGCCATCGAAAATTCCAAAAACCACCGGAAAATTTTGTTCATTGATTATAGCAAAAAAGCAACTGTATGGAATTGAAATTCGAAATACGAAAGAGAAAATTCAGTTGGAAATATGCTGAAAGATGTTAGTGTATAATAGAAACAGCATTAGATTATTGATTGAAGCAGCATTATGATAACATCGGTTTGATACGGTAGTTTTGTCAGCGCTGAAATTGATTTTTGATGCGTGTATCACAAAAATCAAATCATATAATTCACTTTGTACAGAAAAATTTTGGTTATTATAATATTCTCAGGAAGAAACATAAAAATTTTACCGTCATCTTAATGGTCACTTTTGTTCGATAAAACTTGTCGCATGGTTTTCTTCCTCCTTTGCCTACTTTTCTCGCTTATCAGTCGAACATTTCATGGTCTCCATATTTTCAAATTGTTGCCTTATACCAAAAAAAGCTCAAATGTTCTTTATTTCATTTCGAAAATTACACGGTAACCATAAGGACCAGCAGATAAATGGATGGTAGTCGGACGAATGAATAAATCAACAAATCAGTCGAATAAACGAATCCGATCAGAATCACCCTCCGAAATGCCACAGTTTCAATGACCTCACGTAACGCATTCATTATCCATGCATAAAGTGGCTGCAATATAACATA